ATGTCTTCATTTTTTAATTTTAAGGACTGTTACTGGCATAAAGAAGATGGTGATTCTGCCAGATACTTGTACACACTAAACAGAGACTGAATACAATACAGATGGTAATAACTTTTTGCTAATGTGAAAAGAATGTTTTATTTAAAATCTGGAAGGATTACTTGAAACTGACTGATGTATCACTCCTGTGAAAGAAGCGTAGACAAGAAAACGGGTACTAAAATGGTCAAAGACAAGCTGTTACCAGTGGCCCATGCATTTCTTTGCAGTCATCAAGAGCATTAATTGCTTTGTTTTGTTCATACTTATCCCTTATTATTAATTTATAGCAATGACCAACTAGACTATGTTCTCAATTAAAGAGGTCGTTCAACACCTTATTTTGAATTACGACTGGTCTTCAGTTTTATTTGATAGTAAAATTTGAGGCACATGTGGATAGTCATACCAAAGAAACAGGTTCTCAGGACCCTTTTAACTTCCGAGTAATCTTTAGTGGGCTTTTAAGGTTTATTGAAGAACCTGACACTGTGACATTGATGGGGACTAGTTAAATACGTGGAACAACCTGTGTGTGCTCAAAAGTTTAGAGGTTACTTGAGCAGACATTTAAAATTAAATTTCTTTCAGGAAAAAAAGTGCTTTCAAAATAACTTGCTGGAGAGGCAACATGGAATAGATGAATGTGAGTCAGAGTTAAAGGAAACAAGATACGGTAGGAAAGCGGCAGGGCAATGCAGGCTGTGGCTTGGGTTATCAGCAAATGATGGCCTGTCCGTTATGTTAGTGTACTTTGATAGAAAGAAACAAAACACTAACTGGACCACCAGACAAAGGTGATTTAAAAATAGGCTTATGTCTCTTTTTGTTTATTCCCTTCCCCCTCCCCCCCCCCAAAATGTCAAATGTTTCTTTTTTCCCTTGTTCTTTGCTGTCATACAGCAGGGATTCTGTGTCTAGAGTTACAGCTGCAAGACATGAGGGCCAAGTTTTTCAGTAGCTTTGTTTTGTTTTGATTTCTGGGGGCAATATGTAGCAATCCTGTCTGTTGATCCCTCTGTTTCTCTACTCGGATCCACTGGTGCCTGAATATTCCAGCTGATCAGGTGTTAGGAAGACAGCTTTGATATCTTCTTACCTGTTAGCTCACCTTGTGGCTGTGTGTGTCAGAAGTGCTGCCCCAAAGAGGAGGTTGTCCTTTCAAATGCAGAGGACAGAAAAGCTGTTGGCTGCTTGCCTTACCTCAGGGTAATGTTTGGGATATTTGCCCCTCAAAAATGGTCTTTTCCTGATCCTTCCTGCTCTAACCAATGACCTACATTTTATAAGTGGGCTTGTTGAGCCATTGTTCACAGGACATACTTGCAGCCTTTCTTGGTTGCACAGAAAGACAAGGAGGATTTCTGTGCTCTACACAGCAGTTTCAGAGGGCATTGGTGGCAATCTAGTTTTGTAAAGCAAAGATCCCTGCTAATTTACTAATGAGAACTAAGCAGTCTTTTCTGAGATCTGTGTTGTCCTGACCAAGACTACTGGGGCTCAAGCTAGTTTGTTCATTGGCCACGCATACATGGACTGAAGTTGTGCCAGGGGAAATTTAGATTGTTAATTAGGAAGAATTTCTTTCCTGAAAGAGTAGTGAGGCATTGGAACAGGCTGCCCAGAGAGGTGGTGGAGTCACCATCCCTGAAGGTGTTCAAAAAAGGTGTAGATGTTGCACTTGGGGTCATGGTTTAATGGTCAGAGCAGTGGTGGGTGATGGTTGGACTTGATGATCTTAGAAGTCTTTTCCAACCTTAATGATTCTATGATTCTATGTCACTGTATTTAGGGAAGTTTGATTGTTACCTGTTATGAGTATCACTTGCTGAAAAAATAGGGCATTGTGTAACATCATCCATTACCTTCCTGTGCAAAGTTTGTACACCTTTGTGCTACACAGAGAGGGAAAACGTCCTGAAAGGGTATTAAAATTTGAAATTGCAGAGTCACACCCTGCCAAAATTAAGCTTTGTAACCCTTTCTGTACGTCCTATGATGTAATTTCCAGTTGAAATCTTACTCTGCTAGAACAAGCTGCATGCAGGTGGGATCTTCAGAGATTTGCACTGGCAATCTCCATTATGTCTCCTGTCTTTGTGCAAGTTGTGATTTCTTCCTCAGTTACACAGGTTCCTCAGCTTGCATGTAATTGGGGCCTGTTTTTCCATCTTTACTATAAATGTGATTTGTAGATTGCAGGTTCCTTCTGCAAAGCTCAGAGATGCTACAGCTGCAAAAAAACAAATAAGGATGGATGAAACATGTCATTTTTTCATCTTGGTTTTAAAAATAAAAGCCATTTTCTTTAAAACAGTTTGAGACAAACATCCTGACTGGAAAATTTGAGCCTGGATACTTGGGAAGTTGGATAGATGCTTAAGTTGCCTACATTGTTTTTTAAAATAGCACTGTTAATGCTAAATATGCTCATTATGTTAGTTAATGAGAAATAGCACTACCCTTTTTGTCTGCAGTACCACTATCTTAGAGCATCCCTTTCCAAATGCATTTTGAAATGAGGTATTTGTATACTTTTCCTACTGTTTGTCTTCATACTGTCTTTTGCCTTCTCTTTATCTTCCTGATTCATCTCATTCTAGTTTTGCACTTCATTCTGGTTTTTCATTTCATTCTGGTTTCCACTTATGACTTGAGCAACATGAGGAACAATAGGTTTGGTTTATGAAGGGTATTTGAGTCTGCAAAAGAATTTGTTTTCACTCCCTTTGGGTTTTGAATATTAAGTAGCATAAAATCAAGCCCTACAGCAAAACATTGCTTGGCAGTCTTTCAGACTCTGGTGCCAGTGGTCTGTGCTTTGATTTGTGGCATGTGTGCTTGTTTTTGTTTAGTACATACCTGAAATCAGTGGGTTGCCGAATCGAAATCAAACTGTCCTGAAATGTGGCGTGGCCTGGAGAAAGGTTATAAAATCCCTGCAGGTTCTTTGGACTGGCCTAACCTGTAAGCTTTTACCTGAGCTGAAAGCCAGACAGTTTTACTTTGTAAATCTTACTTTAGGATTTTGTGATAGAACTGTATAACTCGGTTCATCTCATTTTTTATGAATTTGTTTGTTAAGGGTGCCTTAAATACATTTACTACTCATCATACAATGACATTTTTGGAGTATCATTTAAGATCTGTCAGATGTTGTTTGTTGTGTTGATTGTACTGTGTTACAGACTATTATTGAAATAAACATGGTAGTAATTTGCATGCTACCAAGGTGAAAGTCTGCATCTAATTCCTTCTACAAAACTTCACCGAGGAAGGACAAAGTACACCTTCATTATCTCCTGTTTTAGGGCCACAGAGAGCACTTGACCACCAAAGGGAGATTAGTGGTGGTCCCCTATTTACTCAAGACTGACAGATTGGCTAATTATGAGCGTGGTAACTCCATAGGGTGTTTTGTGGCCCATAGCACATTAACAATTGCATTTTTGCAAATGTTCTGCTTGTCCTGCAAGAACAAATGTACTCAGAGTAACCAGCACTAGTGCACTGTCAAACTGGAAGGATGAAAAGGGGAAATCTGTGGGACATGTCCTCACTCAGGCACTACTGAGTATTGTCACAAAGGTGTTGAGTGAGGTATTAGGAGCAATCCCTAGATCTGCAGACAGCAGCAGGGTGGAAGAGATTACAGGCAGTTTTTTAGGCCAGGGCAGACACGATGAAATGATCTTGGCAGACTGTTGTAAGGGAGAAAAGCACAATTAAACAGAGACAAATGAGAAGCACTGTGATAGGGTTAAAATAACCAACAGTCCAAATGCTTGTTGGGAGAAGACTACCAGTGTATCAGAAGAGTGCCTTAGAATTTAGTGGATCAAAACATAAGATGGCATTAATATATGTTAGATCATACTTGCGACATCAGACTTGCAAGGAAAACAAAAATGTATTACCAACAAAAGCAGTTGCCATGGTGGGAGATACAGACAGAAGGATTTTGTTAAGAGCAAGCAGTTTGCACACAATAAAGAAAGCTGAGTGTTCCTTTTGTCACTTGTTTCTCTTTGTTAGCTGGTTACCTGATTAAACTTCACTAGCTATTGTCTCTCTCTGCCTTGACATTCAGTCCTTGAGTGTATGATGCCATGTGATTGTTGTCACACTTTGGGTTTTGTTTTCCATGCATAATTACAATTTTGAGGACTGCTTATTTTTCCAGTTTCCTAGTGCAGTTGTGGTAATAGTAAAGGTTCAGTAGCTGACTGTAGGAGGCATTTAGGGAAGCAAGTCACCCCATGCGTAGTCATTCTTACGAAGTTTGTTTAGTAGGAGATATACCTATCAAGTTCATTGCTTTTTATTTATAATTTACTAGCCTGGTAATGAATAGGAACTTGTCTCTAACTAAACTCATGTTATTATCTCTTTGTAAAACCTGTTCAAGTTCCTTCACAGTGAGAGGCTTATGAAGCCTCATCAAGCATAGCTCTATTTTTGCATTACTTGTCAGGCATCTGAGGTGCATTTTTTTTAATACCACTGTTCTTGATAGAATCTCTTCCATCACACTGCCTTTACCTTCATACCCTTGTACATGGATATGCATGCTCTGTGGCATTAAATTTCTCGTGGGCTTACTGGTACGTAAGTGTTTTCCAGCTGCCTTACATGGAAGGAGAATGACACAGCCACTGTTTCGTTTTCCAGAAGCTTAGTAGATTTCACCTTTTGAACAAGGCAATGGAAGAGGAAAGGTGAGAAGGAACATGTGGAAATAAAATTCCCAAGCATGCGGCCAGTTAACCACAGTGGAAGCTTTAACCACTCATAGATTCCTTGTAAAAAGTGGATACTGTGTGCAAGAGCTGTTATCAACATTTTTATCTGGTTTTGATTGATTATTCAGTTTTCATTGCTATCGGTGCCTGCAGTTTCTCCAGTGTATCTGTGGATTTTTTTAGCAAAATGATCCCTAATAAATGACTCTTTTTTCTTAGGTATCCCTTAAAACTGTAGAGGATTTGTCTGTAAATTACATACTGAAACCCATGATAATGACAGTGGGTGTGCCACCATTTGTTGCACATTTGCAGCACATTTTCATGGTGGTCTTTGGTGAGTTTTCACCTACCTAAGTGGTCAAGTGAACTTGGAAGAAAATGGCAGACGGAATCTGCATGGAAAAGCAAAATGGACCAAAGTAGAAGTTTCTGTGCATCTGCATCACCCCCATGGGACTGAGACAGTTGGCAGCATCTGAACTTTGGTCCCATGGGTCCTGCACTAGATTTTCAGTGTTTGTATTGCCTACTCAAACTGCAGCCTAAATGAAAGTGCTAAACCACTGAGCAGGATCATTGCTGTCTAACGTGTGGGTGACTTTACCAGTGAGTGTGAAAAGTGTCTCATTACAGATTGTGTCGTGATTTCTGATTGTGCAGGCTGTGACCATCTGAAGTGTGACTCAGGGGTTGGCCTTGTCCTGCCACAGGCTCTGCTTGCAAATGGTTGACATTCGTTGCAGTGAAGGGTCTTGCAAGGACTTAATGTAGCTAGATAATTCAAATGAAAGGAGGTACCTCATGGAGGAAGTAGCATACAGATCAACTGCTCCTGTAACCCTTTGCTGAGGTGTGTTATTTCATTTTCTCTTCCAGCAAATATTACGGCATGCCCGTGGAAATGCCACAAAGGTGATATTTCTCATTACTGATGGATATTCCAATGGGGGAGACCCAAGACCCATTGCAGCATCACTGCGTGAACTTGGAGTGGAGATCTTCACCTTTGGGATATGGCAGGGGAATATCCGAGAGCTGAATGACATGGCATCCCATCCAAAAGAAGACCATTGTTACCTTCTTCACAGTTTTACTGAGTTTGAAGCTCTAGCACGCAGGGCTCTTCATGAAGGTATTAATGTACTAAATTCATAAGTCTATGGAGAGCAAAGAGACCTGAAAAGAAAGATTCCAAGCACTGTCTTGTAATTACATTTGATGTAGTGTTGATTTTTTTTTTGCCCACTTATTTTCTAGCGGAGACATTCATTCCTCAGGTAAAAGGATAAACTTTTTTTTGACTAAGTCATCATCAAAAAACACAACCCAGATTCTCCTCCTTAGTACATACATATTTACCTCCATGCAGCTCTTCATTTTGTCCACAAAGAACAGACTGTGGTCTTGGGCCAGTGTAACTTTTGCTTGAATAGATGAACCCTGTAGTCAGATGTATGGTCAGATATACTAGGTGCAAAAAGAGGCACTTACTACACACCTTGGGAGTAGCTTAATACCTGCTAGTATTTCGTGCAGCAGCAAAAGCTAGCCTGTCCAGAACTGATTTAGAGCTCTGTGCATAAGAGTAAATATGATTTGTGTTCGTGACTCTATACATTCAGTAAAACTGGAAAGAGCATGGGGTGGAAAGTTTGGACTGTGTTGTTATCCTGTTTTAGCCCACTGTATTCTAAAAAAAAAGTTCTTCCTGAAAAATAAGTTTAGACTAGCAAGTGAGGACACATTGCTAGTGTTTGCAACTAGACCTTTGTTTGTAAACCAGTGCTGCTTGATTGGAGCTTAGAACATGTCTCAGACTAGCCATTAAAATTTACTTGATACATTGAATTTTTAAAAGCATGCTAATTTTACATAAGTAGTGTGCTGCATGCACTGCCATTCTGTTTGTTCCAGCTAAGCTTTAATGGGTCTGTGTGAATGTTTCAGAAGATTGGTTTTATTTTTTTAATGAGACCAACTGGTTACACGTCTCATAACCAAAATAGTCTCCTGATATCAAAGATGGCATCCACCAAAGCCAAGACAGCAGCTTCTGTTGGGAGTGAGACTGCATCCTGGCAGTATTAGGCTCAAATGAACCAGAGAAAATTTGAGGATGTTTGCAGCATGGATTTCAGTGAGCCTTTTTCCAGGATCAGAACACCTTTTTTTTTCTCTTCTTATTTGCATTTTAAGTGTAGCAGGGCTCTGTTTCACGCTGCCATTGCTACTGCTTCGAAGTGGAACCTAGAGGTTGTAAGAAACGTAACACTGATGCCATGATGTAAGTCTCGGGGTGGGACTTTTGTTTGGATTTTTTGTTAATAAATCGATATCTTTCAGACCTGCCCTCTGGCAGCTATATCCAAGAAGACATATCGCATTGTTCCTATCTCTGTGAGGCAAATGAAAACTGCTGCGACATCATGGCGAGCTGTAAGTGCGGCACTCACACTGGCCAGTTCGAGTGCATCTGTGAAAAAGGATACTATGGGAAAGGACTGCAGCACGAATGCACAGGTGAGTCTCATGTCTCAGTGCTTGGGTTTCTCCATATGCCCTGAATACACTGCTAATCTAGCTGAGAGACAAAAATTCTGTTTGGGATTATGACTGTGGACCTCGGTCAGAATGCTTTTGATGCTGTCGCAAAACTCTCTGGCTGAAGACAGAACAGCTCTAGCTGTCAAACTCATCTCATACCTGGTCTCCAGCAACAGCTCAAAGAGATGCACAGGTAAAGAGGTAAGAGTAGAGCAGACGTTCTGACAGAGTAAAACTTCCCGAAAACACAGCTCACCAGCAATTTGTGGCTAGAGTTGACTGAGTCTGAGATAATGTCTTTTGAACTAAACTAAAATTTTCCTTCTTGAATTTTGCTGTCACATTTTAAATTTTCATAAAATTTTCTGTTTGGAGGAGGGCTGTATATTTGGATCTTTGCAGGTTAAATCCTTGATGAAACCTAGAGTTAGTTAAATGTTCTTTAGTTCTCTCACGTTGACTTTCAGTTACTAAAGAGGAAGAAGGTGTTTGCGTCACTGAACAAAAACTTGGCATCACATTTCACTAAGATTGTTTTTGTTACTTGTTTTTGGACAAGTTCTTCTACTAGTATGCATTCAAAGTTTAGAGTTTAAATAAACTAATTTACAGTTCTTTTATTGTTGGAGAAGGTATCCAGGCTTTATCCAACTCCATTGATTTTGCTAGGACAAAAGTTTAGGAACTGTCAGAGCATATCTGAACTCTGTTATAATATGAGCTGGAGAGACAGATTACCCACAATCAAATATTTCTGAACTAGAAACAAAATACACTATTTATGTTGATCTTGTTTGTATTCTCATATTCTTAGTTATATTCTGCGTATCAGAGTTCTGACTGCGAGTTTCTTCATGAGATGTGAACTATGTGCAGTGGCTATATGGATCTTGGCTGTGTAGCTGTTTAAGGGCCATGCTGCTTTTCTGAATGTGATTTTCATGACATGTAGAGAGTCTCTTGATGTAACTTCTAAGAGTTGGTAGTCTGTTCAGAGAATAGACATGGGCAGGTTTGTGACTAGAAGCTAAGGAATTCATTTGCCAAGGGATGTTTCGATAGGATATTAGGAAGAATTTCGTCACTAAAGGACTGGTTAGACACTAGAATGGGCTGCCCAGGGAGGTGGTGGTGTCACCATCCCTGGAGGTGTTCAAGAAACGAGGAGATGTAGTACTTGAGGCTATGGTGTAGTGGTTAGGGAAATGTTAGGAGGAAGGTTGGACTTGGTGCTCCTAGAGGTCTTTCCAACCGTAGTGATTCTGTGATTCATGGGAAGCTATAATGGAACTGTGGTGGCTGTATGCCTGCACAAGAAGGATTATAGGGATACACAGAGGGATCCAGACTGTAGGTAGGCACATGATGAGGTAAAGGTGTTGTCTGTCAGTAGTGCAAGAAAAAACTGAGATGCCCTAGTGTTTGTGTTCATGAGTTGATCAGCTCTATTATACTCCCTGCCAGTTATCACCTTGTAATTCACCATGTGCCTCTGGAGGATTTTTGCTTTGTTATGTATTAAGAGAAGTAAGTGAGAAGAAATTCACTGTGTTTTGCATGCAACAGGAGTAGAGGAATGTAATTACGACCAATGTCAGCACTGGCATGTTGGATGAGAATTCTATTTTATGTAAGTGGGTGGAGCTTCCATGTGTGGTTAATTGCCTCTGCATGAAGATACACTATTCCATTCTGCTTATTTTCAGTTGTAATTCAAATTTGTCTCAGACAAAATCAAGTTTTCATCTTAATTTTTTCTTTTGTAATTTAAGTCAGGCTCCTGCACCTCAAGTGACCTGGTAACCTACTGAAAAAAATAAATGCACTTCTGCCTCTATCTATAGCTTGTATCTTTAAATATTGTTTTGAGGTATTCCTAAAGATAGCAAGCCTATAATTTTAGAGTTACCTTTTGTACATGAAAGGATATTTTGATAAGATGACCATACCTTTCAAGTGACACCAAAAATTATAAAAGTCTGGGGAAAGTTTCATTTTGACATCATCAGCAGGTGCTTCTAAAATACTTTTTTAGAAGGGGTTGGTATTAGATACGCTGTAGATAAGTTGATAATTGCAGCCATCTGCTGTAAATGTGAAAATAATTGAATATGCATGTATTTTAGAGAGATTTGACCTGAGTAACTCAAATCTGTTCTTTAAAATATGTCTGCTTTGCTCAACTATTGTATTCATCTTTAAGACAGATATTAGGAAAAGACAACGTGTATTCTTTAAAGGAAAACCAATCTATTTTGAAATCTTTTATTCTGAAATGGATTCCAACCTTTTTCTTCTTTTTTAAAAACATTTCCCTGCTGAGCATAGCTATGGATTTGTAAAGCATAAGGAATCTTAAAAATGCATCTTAACTCCTCTTCACTGTATAATGTGCAGGAGGACTTTTGGCAGGTTTACAGTGGCAGGACTCATATTTTAATTGGATTACTTTTAGCTTTTGATTGGTGAAACTTGCAGATACTCTGCTAGCCTATGCTAATTTATTACTGTAAGGCTCTTTATAAAAAAAGTTAGAGTTTTCATTAAGATAGGAAGTTGTTCTGTGATTATCTGTTCTTTTTTGCTGTTTTAGTTCTTTTCTGTGGTTATTTTCTGTATGCCTTTGTGCTTATCCATTATACCACCTTACTGTTTTTTGTGGCTTTAAATGTGAGGCATCAGAATAACTATGTAAAAATTATAACAGCTCTTTACTTTCCTAATTACCTGAAAAAAACACTCTGTGGAAAGCTTCCATAAAACAAACTAGGAGCCACATGCTTGGCTTCAGTGTCCTCCTCCTGTTCTTTGTAATGTTGTTGATGATATGCCACAGAAAGAACAGACTGACTGTTTTTACTTTAAAAAGCAAACCAAACAAAGGCTTCTTGGCCCACAGTAGGAACCTCACACAGCCAGAGACATCTGTGACAAGTGTGATAAAGGAAGGAGGAAAGAGGAAGAACAGAGGCAGTAACATAACCAGTCCTGTGTATTGTCAAATACATAAACACCTCCCTTTCAATAATGCTTCACCTTTGATTACAGATGTTGAGTTTCAAAGTAGAGACAACCAAACAAAAATACTGACATCAGCAAAAATAATTCTGTGATTTCCACTATCTAAGACTGTGTCTTCAGTTTCACCAGTAAAAATGTGGGCTGTTCAAGTCAGCGGCTCATTCCATAAAGAACAAAAATTAATGTCCATGTCTCCATTTGTACCTTCTCTGTCTTAGGAAGTTAGTGAATGTATCTTTAGCACAGGACCCTTTTGTACATTTTTTTCATCAAGACTCTGCAGAGAATGTTTTTCTAAAGTGGGCTCTTGTGTTGGATTACCATTTAGATTCATGATTTTAGATTCCTAAGTTATTTGGAACCTCAGGAAACTGTTGTCTTACAACCAGTAGTTTCTTTTATCTAATGTATAAACCTCATTTTTTTGCAGCACAAGGTAGCCACAACGATGATGTGCAGTTGGTGGAGCAGAACTGATAAATCAAAATACTTGTAGGCTACGCTAGTTGTTCCTTCTTTTGTACTTTTGATCCACTACTTGGGTGTAATTATTGACGTGCAGAATTTGACTATGTGTATATATATATTCAATAAGTTACCTAGGTTTTGATTTAGGAGCATGCAGCTTATCAGTTATCATCTGCACGGCTACTAGGGCAACAGTTTTGCCTACAAAACAGCACATGAAGGTATCTGTAAATAGCTTTTCCAGTGAAACCTGAAATCATCTGAAAAATGACTTTTTTTACAAATTTTCATTCAGAACACACTCACTGAAAAGACTTTAAACTTTGAGGAAATGTAGGTCCAGCAAGGCAAGGGAGATTCCTCTAATAATTGACCAATAGGGAGGGAAAAGAGAGGAAGAAAGACAGCATGAAAGAGAGTGTAAAAAATTCCTCCAGCTGCAGCAGAATCTCAGGCTAAATTTGCCAGTTGAATCTGAAGGTTTGAATTAGTTCACAAAATTGCAGATTTTCAAGGTTTTAGTACTTAATTTCTTGTCGTCTCACAAGGCAGTGCCATTTCGTGCATAACACACTACAGGTCTTGTGCACCAACTTAAATACATCATCTGCTGCAAGAGTAAAAATTTTAAGTAACAGGATAGTTAATATGGATAAGGATGGTTTATTGGTATAGAAATTTTCTAGCTCAGCACCATGCAGCTTGTTTCCTTTTCATTTAAAACTGAGCTGTAGTGGAGAAAGAAAACCCTAAAACTTTTTCTGAGGAAATGCTTTAAAAATCAAGTTGTAGTATGAAAGTGAAAACTTATATTCAGTTTTGACATGTGCAGACCAGAAAAGCAGAGGTGCAATTTTGCATCTGTATGTAGCATTGAAAAACATTTTGTCCTCTTCAACTAGATGTCATTTGAGGCTTTAGAAAGTAAGTTTCTATGTCAAAGCAGACTCTTTTGTATTAAGTACAGAGCTATTTATGAAATAAATTTGGTGGAAAGTTGTAGCATGATGCATGAGTTACCCTGTATTCCTTATCTTGGAAGTGACTTGTCCTGGTCATCCCAGAATGTCATGAAAATAAAGCCTCTGGCCAAAGTTCATATGTGCAATTAGAGGAGAAAAATCAACCATCTGGAGGGCCTGAGAGAAGCAGGAGCTATGCTCTGAATAGAAATAGACATGACATACAAATAGTCTCCAGCTTTCTACGCTGATCAAACCCATGCTCTGCCTGGAGCACCCAAGCTGTCCTTTGGCCAGAGTATAACCATTGCAGGTGACCATCACAATGAAGAAGGTTACAGGTGTAAATACAGCACCAGTTAGATTTAGCCTTTATATAAATGACTGTAAAACTTCTACTGTTAAGCCTGGGCTTTGCCTTTAGTCTCTAGACAGGATAAAAAGCAGGCTGTCTTACCTTTGTTGAGATTTCACGTGGTTTACATCCTTTCCAGCTGTGCAATGCTGGGCGAAGTGGTCGTTTAC